GTATTTTATGTAAATAACTTTACAACGAAACTTCCATAGATTTGTTTGCGGCTTGTAAAGCTCTGTTGACAAGGCATTCTTCCTTTAAGGTATAAGTATTTAGTTTCATCGTATATTGCACAGTCGCGGGCGTAATAATCGATTCAGTTGGTATGACAGAAGTCTGATGAACGGAATCGGAGTGACCTCAGTAGCCGCTCTTTTGATATATTTCATAATACAATACGAAATCATGGAATAGGACAGGGATTGTGAATTTTGCTTTGTAAAGTAGTTTTTTTCTTTCAAAGAATCTTGCCGGTGGCTAATGCATCCGCATGGCACCTCTGATATGTTTATTGAAGAACTGCGGCTTGTCAGTTCGGCATGTGTGTTAGTGTGGAATTTTAACGTTGAGCGATGATATCGGTAAGCTTAAGTTTTATTTCCTGCCATATAGTTAGCAACGTTATTCTGCCGTATGTCTAAGCATAGTTTCTTTGTTAACCACTGTCGATCATATCTGAATAGCGCGTTGCTTCGAAATTCCCAAATTCAGTCCGTTATTTACTCGCTTATGCTAAGGACTATAGTTTAACTCTCAGCGACTCTCCAATAGACCAGCAATAGATATGTGCACGTTATGAATAAAGAACAGAATTACCACAATATCACGACCGTCAGGAAAATAATGAAGATCTTCTTCAGCAGCTATCGAGTTTGCGAAGTTGTGTGCGTGTGCATATGCATATGATAGTCAAAACCGAGGAATACTTAATTTCTGATGGAATGAGTGCATCGCATAATTGTTTCCATGCGCCTGCTGGGTCATTGGCGTACTCGACTTTTAGGCCGTTAAGAGTTGGCGGGTTTTAAGTGTGAAAGAAAAGTCTCTTGATAGAAAAGTACCATATAACAGCAAAATCCGTTTAAGCGCTATGTGCATCATTGAGTCAACAGGTCGCACAGCTCCCCTTATTTGCTTTTCTTTGGGCCTAGTAAATAAAAACTTAGCGCATTTCTCAAGTCATGAAACTGCAAGTTGACGAACAGTGTTTTACATCTACCTTTTCTTTATAATTCATTAAGCTTCATCTGGATCTTAAGTCCGTACAGCTCATGAGTCATTGACCTCCGTTCAGAGACGTACCGATAAGTTTTAGTTTGCTTTCTTTGGGGATTATTACGCGCGTTTCTTTATTCCACTGGAATTCGAGGGACAGATTGATAGAGTTATCTACCAGTCCCTGATACCTTCACCTCCTAAGCTAGCCGCCAGGCCTTCATGACCAGTTTCCGTGGCTAAGGAAAATATAATCAGTTACTTCATTTTTTCATGTAATCCCTTAGTTGGGTCCTTACTCTCTCTGTAGCTTGAACACCGTGACTGGATTTGAGGAGAGGAGTCGTTTTAGTTAGTACTGCGCGCATTCAACAGGCAATAATCGATATTATTTTCGTGCTATGCTAAGATATCGTCAGTAATTACTAAAGTAAAATGCTGGTTTAGGTGGAGAGTAAAACGAATATTAAATTCCATGGTAAAATTTGTACATTTTTAGTGTTCTTGTGAATTTTGTTTTTACGACTTTGTTATTATCTGTTCGCTGCCATTCTGTGTCAGTCAAAATGTTTAATTCTGCAAGATAAAGATTGCTGTCGATTCATAGTCGTGCATGATGTAGATATCGAGGAAGACATTGGTGGTTAGAAGTGAGTTTTCGGTTAATCTGACATTGAACTACTATGTGGCTTTTGAACCCATCTCACAAGTTTTGCGTTATTTTGAGTTTAGAACTTTATGTAAGTTCTTTCGATCTGTTAGGTTGTTACACCCTATCTCTTAATTTGAGACATTAAAGCAAATAGCCTTTCGTTTACTTCTTTTATGACTGGCTGCTAAATCCATATTTCAGAGTCGAAACGGAATGCTTGGATCCGACAGCAGTTTTTGGTCCTAAAGCGATACATTCATGGCTCACAAACTTTCTGTACACAAGGTAACTTTTAACTAATAAATTTTCTGTTTTTCGTACATGTCATAATAGACGGTCAAAGATGAATCCGTTATGGAACGTATACATTGTTGGCGGCTTCGAAGATGACACCAATGAACCGTATCTCGGCACCGTTAATCTTCTAGGAGTCTCTTACACGAATCCTTATGTAGCGACTGGCCTTGGATCTTACCTAGTACAGGTAGCTGTGAATTTATGTTGTATAAATTTACTTTTGCTTACCTAGTTTCTTTCATGATTCAGGTAGAGTATGTTCTCATTGAGCGTCTGGGCGATTAAGACCCGCCGTCACTGCAGTTTACGGTTTCGCCTGTGTCTGCTAGTAGGAAATAAGCTATTTGCCGCCTGCTTCAGCCTTCCTCTACCTTAAAGCTTTATTCACTTTTATGCTCTGTTACTGTTGTTGCAGACCGCGTAATGGATCTGCTACATTGATTGTTCGCTTCTTCAGCGCGATCTGAAGATTAGGCGTCATTAAAGGTTGATTGATTGCGAAGGTTTGTTTTATTTCCAGCAAACCTTGCCGATGGTCAAGTTGTCTACTCTGACGTTACTTTTCGCGAATGCATATTGGTCAGATTTCCCACTTTTTACTTGACTAACATATCCAAGGGTTTATCCACTGTCCGCAGTTTATGGACGCTCTCGATTGGTTTTGTTCGTGCCTCTGCTAAATATCCGAAACGAACTGCAGACTTAAATTATCGTGGCACAGTGATGGAAATAGCGCCAGTTTAGCAAAATTTATCAGATTTTGGTGTTCAGCTTACTTTTGTTAGGGTTGCATGCCCATTTAGGAGTCTAAAACGCTATACGCCATAAGGAACATTACTCTGAGTCTACAGGAATCTGCTCCTAAAGAATTTAACAACATATTTGTTTTGTATTTTAATTCGCCGTTCAAGTTCGCACTTGTTTCTGATTTAGCAAACTCTTGAAAATGCACACAAAGAAAGGCCTTCGCTAACTGAGCAAGACGCGACATTGCTTCTTGAGCACTGCATGGAAATTCTGTTCCAGCGGGACTGCCTTGCTTCTAATATCGTACGTTCCACATGTTGGTCGCGTGAGTTATATCGCTTGTTTTCAGTACGAAATTGGAATAGTTAATCAGAGTGAGTGTAAAATCATCAAGCCTAAGCCCGTCGTAGGTAAATGGGAAATCGCCCAGATGGTCAGGTATGTGTACAAATATTCGTTCTCGTGATTTACAGTTTATTTAGTGGTTATGAGTGATTGTACGTTACTGCAGTCATGCGTATGCACCTGTTTTCGCAAGTGTGGCCAATTCTAATGGCGCGGTCTTAGCCTATTTGTTTACCATAAAATAAACTGAACTTTTGAATTGTATACATGCAAGATTATGTCTGCTTCCAACTGATCAACTGCTGGCATTATAATGTTATGCTAATGGCAGCAGCACTCTCTGCACTCTCTTCAAAATTAACCTCAAATAAGAGCAACTATATTATATACAATACTGTGAATACTACTTTATGTACTATGCTACTAGCAAATGCTATTTTTTTCAGCAAGTTGAACAATTTCGAACATGACTGGTAATTGTAACTGACTATTTGTCCATTTGTGACCGCGCTAACACTTAAAACGTTGTGGATCGGGCAGGCTGACTGATTGTCATCAAAGCACGTTGTCCTTAAGGTGTATGCTGATTACGCAGTAATGGTGAGCGGTTGTATTCAAAATGATCAAGCGACAGGTGAACTGCCGAAATAGGGATGATGTCAGTTGGCCCTTCTTGATTTGTAATTGGACCGCGCGCGTAGTTCTGATTCCATAAACTTTTCGGAAATTCTGATTCGTCTAAATTTCATAGAATCTAACCACGCATATCGCATAATTACATTGATAGGCAATGAATTCAGTGTCAAAACCATCTTAATGAATCATGCTAGCCTACTAAATCTTCGATCCTATTAGATTCGTATAAGCCCAGCGTCGAGTTACGTATAACCGTAGGCTTCAGAAAGCTTCTTGCACGGATGGAGTTGCTGACGAAAAAGAATGCAACCTTTCCCAACCGTTAAGCTACCCCAACCTTCGAATAAAAATATGATTGTAAGTAGAGATCGTATACGTTACAAGGTAGAGGATTTGTTTTCATTAAAAGTGGTTAATCAGATTAAAGTTTTCCGATTTTGAAATTGAGTATTAGAACTAAGATGTCATCATCACAAGCTTTCAGCACTGCTTCTTTGATAACCATGCTTAACATGCCTTCCCCTTTAATTTAAGTCGTACCTGATAAGATTGCTCTCTCCGTCTCCCATAACTAGCCTCCAGTTGGACCCGACTAATAGCTTGGATGAACGATGCGCAAGGGCTAAGATGTTCTGGTGCTTTTCTATGGAACATATGAATTAACTTTACGAAGTGTCGACTATGAGAGAGGTGCAACTGAAGGGAGATGTGACAAGTACTGTGCATGTGTTTAAGATGATCACTGGATCGCTTCCATAATCAGACCGTCTATGGTTCTTTTATGTCCAATGTATTCGCAATTTTCCGATACTTAAGGCATTGATTACTGATCGTAGATAGAAATATTCTACTCTGAGAGCGGACTTGCCGCTACTACATTCCTTCATACTACATGCTGGCTTCCTGGTAGGCGTCTGCGGTGTTTCGGTCCTCACGGGCTGGAATAAAAGCTGTTTGCCTTACCAGCTTGATTAACTGGAACAACTTCCTTTTCATAATCTCCACATCTACCGAGGTCACTTGCCTGAAACAGAATACTCATTCCTTGCGTGATCCTGCTCTTATATCTGTCTCATTCTGCTTTGATGGCAACTTTGCTGTGTACTGTTAAACTTTTTTTGCTCCGTTAGAATAACTGTCTCCTTGAAACGCAACACTGACTTTACAATGACTAGGTACAGGAGGAGTTTTGTTGAAAAGGTTTTTCTTTCCTTAGCTCAAACAGTGGACAGATTTCTAGAGGCACTCGAAACTAGCGCGGTCTTCCTATTTATTTCTCGTTAGATGGCACTGCCGCTGAGAGTGAAACCGAGATATTTATGCAGGTTAATCTCTTTCAGCTCTTTATTTGTATTCCTGTTACACTTGTAGATCAGCTGTGCCAGATGAGTTCCTCAACTTTTAACTTCCGCATGTTACGAAAGATGCCAACTTTCGCTTATTTTATTTATGTGGTCGTTCTGTAGTGACAGAGCCCGCCCCCTCTACTGCTCACACGTTCTACGTACGTAGATCAGTATCATGTGCCTACTCCAGGTCACACATACAGTCGGATATCTTGAACTGCGCGTCTGCTACAGAATGAGACCGTCTTTGCTAAGGTCAGCACTGTTTCGGAGAAGAAAGTCGAGAACACTGTTGGATAACAAATACGAAAGTCTCACTGGCGAACTCCACAGTTAATAGGGAACCACTGAGCTCTTCTGTAACTTTGACAACCGGTATTATTCTTTAATACGTATCTTTCAAGATGGAAAGAATGTAGCATTGCAAAATTTTCGTCATTATCGGACGACAAAATTCACTTATGATAAATATTCGTTTTGGTTACATTTGTCGTACAGTTTTTGTCTGGCAGTTGCTGCATCTCATCATGTTGCAAGGACAGTCATCTACCGTGAGACGAGAGTTGCAAGCAGTATGTTTTGGTTGATAAACAAAGCGAATATTGTTTACTACGTATTACAGGCTCAACGTTTACACTGCTAACGTTACTCAGAGAAAAGGATAAATGGACCATTCAGCAACTTGGAAGTCAATTCCACGGGCGGTTAACAATTTGTCGGCGTAAAAACTGATAGGGAAAATTTTTAGTATCCCCGTACTATGCAACCTTGTCTAAACATTGAAAAGAAATCACCCTGTGCGACAGCGAACCAGAATTGTACTTACCATTGCGGTTTAGCGTTTTCGAAATGTGCGCATCTCAAAGTTC